GGGGGGGGCAGGTGGGTGTGGCCAGAGTGGGTGCAGCCTAATGGGTGGGCGTGGATGGAGTGGGTGTGGTCTACTGGGTGGGCGTGGCCAGTTCTACATCATTTGCGTCAAGGGTGCCTATGGGGGGCCTGGGCAGGAGTGGGACAGATCTGAGGGTCTCTGGCAGAAGGGGGTGGGACCGGTGCAAGTGCCAAGGCATGGTCCACTGGGGCAAGTGCCAAGATGGCCACCACAAAATTGTACACTGGCTCCCAGCTGGCCTGGGCGAGGGCCAAGGCAGCGGGGGCCGTTCCCTCACTGTTTCCAGGATGGCTTCGCGGGCCACATGAAACCACTTTGCGGGCCGCATTCGGCCCCCGGGCCTTGTGTTTGACACATCTGCTCTACATAAAGTAGAATCCGGGTAAACACTGCTTTGGCTCTGTTCACACAACAGAGTGAATGACAAAACTAACAGTTGTAAGTCAAGGACTACCTGCATTTTCCCCCTTATGGAAGAATTGCCCTGTTACTGCATCGAAGAAAAACTGCCCAGTGTCACTAGGATTCGGGCAGCATGTTAATAAAAGAGGTAGTTCTCAACTTACAATCACTTGTTTAGTGACTGTTTGAAGTTACAATGGCACTGAAAAAAGTCACTGATGCCTGTTTTTCATTTAAAACCACTGCAGCATCTTTGTGGTCACGGGATCAAAATTCAGATGCTTGGCAACTGGCATGTACTTAGGGCTATTGTACTGTCCCAGGGTGGTCATGTGATCACCTTTTGTAACCTTCCCTGCTGGCTTCTACTGAGCATAGTTAATGGGAGAAACCAGATTCACTTAACGACCGCATGATTCATTGAACTGCAGAGATTTGCTTAACAACCGCACCAAGTAAGGTCATAAAACAGAGGAAAACTCACTTACTAACTAAGCAATGAACATTTGGGGCTCAGTTGTGGTCGTATGTCGAGGACTGCCTGGAGGCCTTTCCCTTTTGTTGTGTAAATGTTTCTTGTGTGGTCAGTTTCTGAATCTTCCCGTCGTTCCCCTATTACTGATACCCACCAGTCTAATCAAGTGGGCTTCGCCTATGAATTTAGATCAGGGGTCTTCAAACCTGGCCCTTTTATGACTTGCGGACTTCAGCTCCCAGAATTCCTCAGCCAGGCACGCTGGCTGAGGAATTCTGGGTGCTGAAGTCCACAAGTCATAAAAGGGCCACGTTTGAAGACCTCCGATTTAGATATTCATTCGATTTACCCACCCACCCATTTCACACGGTGAGGGGCTCCGGGTGGCCCAATACTGAATAACAAGGCAAACATTATCAATGAAATAAGACCGTGTTTTAAAAAAAACCTACATGAAACAGCATAAAACGTAATCAGCACTGGAGTACGACCAAACCGGACAGGGTCTAACCCAGTGTTTCTCAACCTTGACAATTTTAAGGCATGTGGACTTCAACTCCCAGAATTCCACAGCCAGCATTGCTGGCTGTGGAATTCTGGGAGTTGAAGTCCACATGCCTTAAAATTGTCAAGGTTGAGAAACACTGGTCTAACCCCAGCCGGACCCCCTCCCGAGGCACCCTCCCCTTCAGAGCCCTCCAAAAAGCCTCCCTGCCCATCCTATCATCCCATAAAACTGGGGGGCGGGGGTCTCTAGGGGGTTAGGAGACCCTTCCGGCTTTCGCTTCGAAGGTGCCCCGAAAGGCGCAGCGGGTGCGTCGTTCTGGCCCCGGGGCCGGTCCGCGGATGCACGGACGCCTTCAGGGGGAAGGAAGGAGAGGCGGGGGTCGCAGCCGCGCCAGCCTCGAGGGCTGCCGGAGAAGGGACCTGGGAGTCCCGACGGAGATTCGCGCTTGAGGCTCAGGGAAGCGGAGAACTTGGGTGGAAGGGATCGTGGTTTGCATAGGAAAGCCCCCGAAGGAACCGCCGCGATTCCAACTGGAAACGCTCCTTTGGGGCAGGTTGGCCGGAGAACTCGGGTCAAACCTGGCTTGTGAATAAGGAAAAAGAAACGGTTCAGGTTAAGCAAGCCAGGATCGGCGCGTCGTGAGAAACCGTCACGTCTCGAGGCCTCCCTTCCACGTGGCCCGAAGCCCCGCCCGCCGAGGAGCTGGCACCCGCCCCTCGTCCTTCTTTGTGACGTCACGGGGCTTCCAGAAGGCTCCCGCGGGCTTTCCTTCGGAAGTCAAGCGGAGCGCCGGCAGCCAATCGGAGCAGCGCGCGCGGACCGGGGGCGGAGAGGGAAGGGCCGGACGGCTCGCCCCCGTCTCCTAGAAACCAATGCCAGCGGAGAATGGGTGGGATCGGCGGCGGCGAGACCAATGGGAGCGGAGGAGCGCGGCCCGTCTCGGGAGGCGGGGGGCCGAGGCGGGCGGGGGGGCGTGGCCCGCTCGGCCTTCCCCTCTTCTCCAAAGGGAATGGGCCCCGGATGAGACGGGCGGCGTCCGAAGCCAATAGCGCGCTGGGGGCGGTGCTGGCGCGCCGTTGCTAGGCGAGGGCGGGCTCCCGCTCTGCTAGTTGCCCCGGCTCGGCCGAGCGGGCGGCGGCGGCGGCGAGGAAGGAGGTGAGGAAGGCGGAGGCGGGAAGCGACGCGCGGGCGGNCAGCCCCGCGCCGCACTCGCCGCTGCTCCGCCATGCCCGCCGTCCTGCTCTTCTGGAGCCGCCTAGAGAGGTAGGGCGCCGGCACTCGACTCGCCGCCACGCGGAGGCTCCCCCGGCCGGTCCGGACAGCCGCTGCCCCGGCGGGGTCCCAGCCCCGCCTCGCCCGCTCGGGCTGCCCTGGCCGGACAGCGGACCCCTCGGAGCCCCCGCCGGGGGAGATGGGGGTCGGGGGCGGCAGGCTGCCCTTCCCAATGGGTTGCGGGAGGTAGGTCGCAGCGCCCGCCTGCCCCCCTTGTCCAGCGGCCGCTTTCGACCCCCCCCCCCGGGCGGTCCCGGGACAGCGGACGCAGAAGTGGCCGGGAAGGGGCGCTCGGCTCGCCCCCCCCTCCGCCCGGAGCCCCGGGCCGCCCCGGCCACCTCTGCGTCCGCTGTCCCGGGACCGCCCGTAGGGGGGGGGTCGCCCGGGCACGGCATCGGGACCGATCACACTTGGGGCGGGGGGCGCCGGGCGACCCGCGAGGCTGTCAGCTTTCCCGTCGCCTGATGTCCGGCAGCCCCGCGCAGGAGAGGCGCTGCCGGGTTGGGTCGGGGGCTGCTTCTGAGCGCCCCAGTTCAGGTCGCCTTTTCCCCGGACGCCCAGTGATGCCATTCAGGTGCCCCCCCCCCAGCCCCGTCTTTGTTGGTGCCGCTTTTGTGCCCCGGTTGGATCTGTCCTGTCCCCATTCCGGAGCTGGACTCTTCCCTCCCTCGCCCTCCCCTCTGTGTGTGTGTGTGTGTGTGTGTGTTTGTGTGCTGGGACCCTTTGCTGCCGCCCCACCTGCCAGAAGATTATTTCCGGCTCCTGACCTCATCAATTAACTTTGGGAATTCTTGCTTTCTGTGTCAGTGATGGCTTTGGCGTCACTCGCTGCCTCCCCCGAGCAGAGGTGGCATACGGAGAGTGGCATGCATCTCCCCCCCCCCCCGCGCCCCGCCAGGCTGTGCTGGATGCTGGGCTCAGCTGGGGAGCAGCCAGGGGCGGGGGGGGGGGAAACTGGGCCAGCAGTGGGGGCTGGTGTGGCTGGCTTGGTGGGACTGGGCTCTCCACAGAGAATGGCTTCACTTCCTTTGCGCCTGGGGTCCTCAAGTTGGCACTCTCCACAAGGGCTGGATTGCAGCACCCATCATCCCCAGTCTAAGCTGGAGTGGGAGAGCAGGGCATGCTACCTGTGTGTCTGTGGGTGTGGGTGTGGGTGGGGGTGGGGGAAATGGGTCCTCTACTGAAGTGACAAAAGCAGGATTGGAAGGTGTACTGTGGGCTAACAGACCTGACTCTTTGGGTTTGTGTGTGTATGCTTATGTGGGGGTTTTCCTATCCCTTCAAATTTCTGAAATTCAGCAAAACGGTGAATGCAACACTGTGAGCTTTTTTGGTGCCCCTTTCTGGGGTTTGTTGCCCCAGTGAGAGGATGGGGGAGATTCAGCTTCAGCGGCACTCTGGAGCTGGGGGTGCAGATCTGTTTGACTTGACTGTCTCCAGAGGTGGGTTGGGGGCT